ATGCTATTGTTAAATAGAGTAACATAATTATATGATAAGAAAATTGGATGTTGTAAAAATATTATACTAATTTTGTTTGTAATAAACTTAGTATAAACTTTATAGATATATTCAATAAGACTTATAGAACAAGTAAGGTTAAGATTTTTATCAAATATGTTTTACTTTAAAATAGTATAGATTCTGCTATGCTTTCATTGTTTAGAAGTTTGGCTTGAGTTAAGACAATGATTAAATAGGGCATTTATAATTTTAATGCAAACAGCATTTATATGTTTGAACATTTCTTAACTGATATCTATAAGACTACAAACTTTCTTATTGAGAAGTTTTAATATAATTTGAAGCATTTCTTCTTTTGTGATAGAAGTAATAAAAGAATTGTATCATTAGATATCAATATGTAGTTATAATTGATATTGTGTAAACTAAAAATTATTAAATAGGTTTTGGTCAATTGGTTAATAAGCTGTCTAGTTGAGAAAATGAGATTGTATATGTTGTTTGATAAAATATAGTTTTGTAACTAGTTAGTTAGAAAGTTTAATATTTAAAAAATGAATAGGAGATTTGTAATAATTAAAGATACTGTTTATAGTTTATTTAAAATATATAAAAAGTGTTTTACATCTTTTTTTAGTAACTTGTTAAATTTGTTATTAGAGTAATAAGAAGTTTTCAGATAGTATACATGGTAAAACTGTTTTCAAATATCTTGTATATATTGAGTCTATTGTTTAAGTTCTGACTGTTAGTTAAAAAGCAAGATTTAAAAATTACAATTAGATCTTGTATTTATATTTTTAATCTTGAAATTAATTAAGTTAATATTTAAATTGTTATTTAGATTTTTAACAGTTTTGATTAAATATTTAAGTTCTTTAATTAATAGATAAAATAAGGTGCTATAAGAAAAGTACTTGTAATTATAATAGTATTTGCAAGATTTTTTATTAGAAATTGAGTGTATAGTAATATAAATAATTAAATCTTCAATTTTATATCAAATAGTTTTTTATAATTTCATTACTATTGTAATCAAGTAAAGTGTTATTTTTAAAAAAACAGATTAGAAAATTTTTCTGATAATATGACTTTGTAATTAAAAATTTTATAACTAATATTAGTATAATAGCATGAAAGTTTGCTAAATACATTAGTAAAAGACTATAAAGAAAAAAAGATAAAATGATTTCTTAGTATGGAGTTATTACTACTATCAAAATTATAAAAAAGAAAGAACTGTATATTAAATAAATTAGTTTATATATAGTCAATATAGTTTTAACTAGTATTGTTTGACCATATATAGTGTTGTTATCAAAATATACACCAATGTTATATATGTTGATTTGATATAAGTAGTTAGTAAGTTGAAATTCAGATAATGAGCTACAACTATCATTATATATATTGAAGTTACCAAGAATAATAGGATAAAGATTTAGTTGATAGGTTTGTTAGATCTATAAAATAATTGTTTCTTGTATTTTGTTACATTAATGTATATCAGTAAAGAAAATATAAACTGCTATAATACAGAGTTTAATTTTATTTTTAAAAAAGAAATCTAAAACTACTGCTTCTTTAGGATATGTTTGACAATTGTATATATGTAATTGAATATAGTTATGAATTATAATAATAGTATCTTCTGCAGAATTTTTTAAATTTGTCTAAAAATAGATAAACTGATTATTGTTATAAAAATAAAGATTAGTAGTATTAATAATTTTTGTTTAGTAATATAGGCAATATCAATATTGTTATAAAGACATTAATTTTAACAGACTTCTTTTTTGGTAATTGTATTAAATCCTTTAATATTATACGTAATAATGTTTAAATGAAAGTTATATAAGTTTTGTATAAGTATAGAAGTTTGTATTAGAAATAGTGATGAAATTAAAAATGATGATGCAAAAATATAAAGAAATAAAGATTGTTGTAATAGTATTAAAAATATAGAAGATAATGAGTTTAGTATTAATATTGTCATATATTAATTTGTTAAATTAAAAAGATCATCTTTCGTTGTATTTGATTTTAGCAAAATATTTGAATAATACCAAATAACTTAGAGTAATAAAATGAAATGATTAAGGATAAAGGTAATGTAGATTATTTTTAATAAGAATTATATAGCAAATTATATAATATTATATGATTTATATATAAAATTTTATTTATATTATATGAATTTTATATATAAATTTTATGTGATCTAAGAAACTTATAAGCTAATTCAAGAAAACTTAGTAATATATAAAATAATTTTTTTAAAATAAAATAAATTATAAAATTTTATTAAAATAATTAAAAGTTTTAGATTTATATACTATTAAATTTTGGTAATAATTGAATATAATACTAAAAATTTTTATTAGTAATATGTTTTTTTTTATATAAAAAATTTTATTTGCTAAGAAAATCATATGACAAATAATTTACATCATCTCTATTCTTAAATAGAGGTTTAAAATTATATAGAAGAAAAATATAAGCTTTATTACAATCATATTAATAGAGATAATTAAAATATAATTACAAGCATTGCTTAATAAATAATCAAAACTATGGATATGTTGTAAAAAGAAGATGATAATTTGTAGATATTGAAATAGTAGAAGATGATTATATACTAAGAATTTATTATAATATATGTAAATTATATAAAACTAAAATATTTATTAGTAATAACAGTGTTATCATAACCAGATAAGACAGTTTTTATTAGTTGTATATAAGTATAAACTAGAGTATTATTTTCAATAATAGGTTTAGTAAATTGTATATTATTAAGTATTGAAAAGTATTTAGAAGAAATAGAAATTAATAAATAATATCTATAACCAGATCATTGTAAAATAAAATGATTAAATAAGAATTCTGGTTCATTTGATAAGTGTATATAATACTTACTATAGTCTAGTTTAATTAATAATACTAATATAAAATTATAAAGATTAAATGGTGTGTAATTATAAGAATATATATGTTTAAGAAAAAAATAAAAATTTGTGGATATAAAAGTAAAGATAGGTCTTGGTAAATTAACCATTTATTATAACATAAGTCTGGATCCAATAATATATTGTAGGTTAGGTTTTGTGATATTTCTTTGAAATAAGATAATATAATAAAGTTCAAAGAAATAAAGACTTTCTTTGTAGATTTAATCATCATATGCTTGATTCTTACAGTTGTAAAGAATGTCATAACCTGTTCTGTAAACTCATACAAGAAGATCTTCAAAATTCTAGGTCAAAACCATTAAATTTAACCTGACATTTAGTTAATATTTCTGGACCAAAATTATTAACTAGGCAGCTTTACTTAATGAATGAGCTATGGTTTTATTAGCAAAACTTTTAATGATCTTAAGCAAAATTAGTTAATTCCGACCCTGCCGATCATGATTCTGAAGTATTCCGACCCGGAATTTTGGGATCCACCTGTATGAGTTTGCTCTGTACGTTGAGTCTGATCATCATAAACTTGGTTCTTCACGTAATTATAAAATTATTGTAAGATATGATTTTGATAATTTTATTATAATCTTAAGGTTATAATAAATCAATAAAAAAAAATTAGCTAGTTTCTGTAAAAAGGACTGCCCTATTGAATAATTTATTCAGATATTCAATGATTTTAAAAAGTGATCAAAGTCACGTTTTCTTATGGAAAACAATAAAAAAATATTTTAGCCGAGCAGATTTATGCACCGCAGAATTCTGGATATTCTATAATCGAATATTCGAATGTATTTATTATTCACCGATTAAATTTGATAAATATTCGTTGATACGAGTTAAAAAAATATATTAAAGTTCGTAAATAACGTACAGTTCAGTCACTCTGTCTGAAATTTAAAATCCATATTTCACACAATAAATTTTCGGCAAAATTATTGATATAATAATAAGGATAAATACAATGGATTTCAACTAATAGAAATGATTAAGATTTCAATTGCTAGTCTGGCTAATAAACTTTTCACTTTAACCACTTTTTTTTTGGTACATACTATAAATATAAAATTGATAAAATACATAAATATGCAATAGAGATGGTCTAGTTGTTTCTTTTGCATTTGATAACATTTAATAAATCGCAGAATTGAGGTCTTTATTTTGATCCATCATAGGAATTGTACGTGACTACAATTATTATTAATTGCATAAAGTTTCATAAATTCGGTGTGAACAAGGTAAAAATTAAATCTTGTGGTTATCGTTATTAAAAAACACCGAATATCATTGCCTCGGATCAACATTTGTCAGCTGCATTAACCAGAATTAATAGATCTGCCTAAACTATAACCTAATCATGACCCTAACTCTAATCCTAACTCAGGCCAAATCGACATCTGACGCAAGTGTTAATCTGAGGCACAATATATCGGATATTTTTTTAACTGATTTTGGATACCCAAATTTCTATTGTTTTACTTATAAGTACGTATGTTCTACGTATTATATACCCCGAGTTCGTTACATTTTATCAAAACCATGACCCATATTATAGGGATCTACCATTTTTGGTGATCTTGTATATGACCAATTATGGTAATTTCATCATTCAAATATGTTTTCAAATTCTAGAGATAAACTGCCTTTAAACACCACGAATGGTTAGATCGTTCCTAAGATATTTCGTTAAAATTATAACTACGAAAGTAAAATTTTTAAGAATTTGAATAAAATTATCTCAGGAATAATCTGTCCATTTGCAATATTCGGGAGCAATTCCGAATTATAGATTTCTAGAATTAGCGTTACGTAGAATATTTTCGAGATCTTGAAAGAAGTTCATATACGAGTTGTGTAACAACGTGATTAAAAATCAGCAAAATCGCGATAACGATAACGACGAAAAATATTTAAACGAACTTTTACCGATGATCATATGATAGTTCCGGAAAAAGAATACTTTAATATCTATCGCGCAAGTTTTTTGTTAACGCGTTCTTGTGATTGTGTAAATTTATCAGTTTGATTATGCAGCAATATTCTTCTATAAACTTCAATCAACCTTTAATATCTCCCAAACCAGTTGAAAATACAATAAATGAAACTTTTTGTGCAAAACATGAAGTAATACAAAGGAGTAAAAGCCCTACTCCTTTACGTAAATATTTATAATTAAACCATGTATATTGTTTTTTTTTGTTTGAGCCTTAAGATTCATACTTTAGAAATTAATATCTTCAGGTAGTTTAAATCGAATTCCACAACAACTCGAAGCTCAACATGTAAAACCAAGCCATACAATAACTGTTGGAGACAAATCTGTACTTTCTTTAGTATGCAGTTATAAATATTTATTTAGCGGCTCTCAGGATCCTTATATTCAAGTACGTATTGCTTTTCTGTACAAATATTTAAGACAAATTAATGTAATTGGATATCATCAAGTCTTATTACTTACATTTACTTTATATTTGATTTTACTAACTTTAATTTGGATCTCTTTTTTGAGGTATGGGACTTTCTTACCTTCCAGCAGATAAAGACATTGAAAGGGCACACGGGTGGTATATTATGTTTGTACCTATCAGAAGATTATGCTATGTTATTTAGTTCTTCAGGTAAACTAAAGCTATTCTATTCTGAATTTTTAAAAAATAAGAATATATGCGCTTACTAAATTTATTAATTTCAATCAAAAAGGTGATGGAACAGTTCGGGTATATTAAGAGATTATTTATTCTAAGTTCAATGTCAATTTTTTCTTTTTAAATTATGTCGTGTTTGAAATTGGCATCTGCTTGAAGTTGCACAGACTGTAATTAATTCCTGAAATTATATCCTATATGCATTAGTTAGCATGTTTACTTCAAGCGCTTGAAGTTATAACTTCAAGCAGATGCTAACTTCAAGCACAACAGATATACTAATCTCTTTTTTTTTTATTAAATTATGATAGGTTTGGAATACAGAATCACTAAATTGTCTTTATGTGATACAATCAAGCCATGATGTAGGGGACCTGTTTTCAATAGTTTACTCTGATTCTTTGGAAACTTTATATATTGGTTGTCAAAATACCAGTATACAAGTAAGACTTTCAACTAATCTTTTCATCAATCGGAATTCGGATTTGTATTAATTATGGTTTCAAATTTATTTATTCAAATTATTAGCAATTTGATTTGTCTGTTAAAGAAAAATACAAAAGTTTGCATTTGCCAAATACATGTAAATGCTCTAAATTCTTTGATACTTTACCACCTAAATTGTCGGATGACAGCAATGGGATTGTGGCTGCTAATGTTTATGCTGAAATTAGTTATATTTCCAAAAATGAAATTGATGATATTAATGATGTCCCAAGATACGAAATTGATGATACAATGGTATATTGGAATAGTCATAATGGATATGTGTATTCTTTATTATTGGGAAAGAATAAAGATGGTGAAATCTTGATTAGTGGTACGTATTTAGATTATATAATGAATTTTTAAAAGGTATTTTTCTTAAAGATATAGTTTTTTTTTTCTTGTAGGATCTGGTGATGGTGATATAAAGGTATATAGATCGCCATCTAATTAATTGCTTAGATTACCATAATTTGAATGTACGTTTTGCTTTGCTCTATTAGATTTGGTCTGTTGAGAAGAATTCAATGAACCTTTTACGAAATCTAAGAGGCACAGATGCTGGTGTTCTGACCCTTGCTTTGCATGAAGATTTATTATTCTGCGGTACCCAAGGTGGGGATATTAAGGTTTGTGTAAATTTTATAAGGTAGCTTGAGTTCCGATAAAAGGTCGATTAAAAGTAACTTTTGTGAAAGATTTATGACTTAGAAACTTATCAGGTAATTTGAAGTATCTAAATTATTATTACCTTTATATAAAGTTGTCAATATATTTCATGTCTCCTGTCCATTTATTTCTAGCACATACGCTCTCTTATGGCTCATGAGGTAAGTGTTAAGCACTTAAAACATACATTTTTAACCTAAGTATTTGGACAAGTTTTATACGAATGATGCTTAATATCATAGTTGTCCTATTTTAATTTGATGTTTGAAGCAACAATGCTCTGCGTCTCAAAAATTCATCAAGAAATATGCAAATTTTTCGAGTAGTACAGAATTGCGAAAAAATTAAATTTATTATGTAGTTTATTGCTGTATTTTATGTTCTCTTCTGATCGTTCCTTTATGCACGGGTCTTAAGTGCCTTTTTCATTTGATTATTGTACGTCAGACACCGTGTAATAATATAATTATTGTATGGGAATATTGAATAACCCAATCACACACTAAATTCCGAGGCCGAAGGCACAGAATATGAACCCGTGTGTGACTGGAATACCCATGCAATAACTATAATGTACCGGCTGGGTTGTCAACCAATCATCGTCCATAAAATACAGCAGTTAGTGTTTACAGTGCGTTTATTCAATTATTTACTAACTCAGCTTATGAAATAAGATCAATCATTTTGCTACCGGTATATACCAATAATTGATTTGTTTTATAGGCTGATTATATTAAAGCATTGAATAAACGAAAGCATTCACTTCACCTACAGTCATTACACCAACAAGTCATTTAACCGATATCAGTTAGAGTGACAGTTTAACATATTATCATTTATACAATTGGTAAATTTGTCACGTCATATGATATCAGATGACATGTCGATAAAAGATTGTCAGTGAAAAATGTAAATTTTTTAAATGTTGCGCCAAGTGAAATTAATTATTCTGGTTGTTATGGTGATCAAATAATTAAAATTGGATCATTCTAGTGTGAAATGGTCGAAGCTTTGCGCAGTTTTCAATTGTTGTGCAACTTGCACAAGTATTAAAGATTTGCGCAAGGTCTCGATTTTCATTATTTCATGCTAGAACCACTGTTAGAATTTGAATGACCTTCTGAACTTAGCGCAACATTGCGGTTACTTAGTAAAATTTTCATATTAAACAATTTTCTGCACTAGTTTAAAATTTGCATGTTTTTGACTCCGTGTCTAAGCATGCTTGATATTGAGTACCAGTGTAATTTAGTATTACTGTTTGGATATATTTGAAATTCTAAACGAATATAAAGTTAAGAACTACTCTTGGAAAATAAAATTTTCTTATATATAAGTTGAACCATATGCAAAAATACCGTTCCTGATGGATCGTTGGTGCTGTTCCTGATAGGGGGGAACGCTAACCAGGTACCAGTTAGGTTACGTTTTTGATTTAGTTAGGTTAGCAGCATGTAGATCATGACATGGCTTTAACGGATTCCCTGATAGGGTAAGAACCAAGTATCGATTTACATACCGTTCTTAGAGTTCTAAAAAAAAAAGGCCTCTAAAATAGTATACTACCATAGCGAAGTATATGAAAAAAGTTAGGATTGGTTTCGTTTTTAAAGTCTATCAGGAACTGTACTCTAATATTTGTTTTAAATCGGTACCGACGATCCATCAGGGACGGTACTTTTGCGAAATAGATTGCGCACAAAGAGATTTTATAGAATGTGCTTATAGAGAATATAACTACAGAGGTTCAAGTATATATATAAGTCAAAAGATAAACTTGTCCAAAAAAATATTGATAGACAGTGTATATTTTTATAAAATCTTAATTACTTATTATAAATTAATATAGGATGATGTCCTAGCATTAGTAATTAATGATCATAGTTTATATTCCGGATCTGCTGATGGTACTATTAAGGTAATATTTTAATTAGTTAATTGATGTTTATGCTAATAATGTACATATATAAATTATCTTTTTTTTAAAAAAATAATAATAAATAAGAAATGGAGTAAAACCTTTGAAATTTCAGATACATTTAAAGACCATACAGGAATTATACTTTCCTTAACATTATCACCTATAGAGGCATCGTCACGCAGACGTTGGTTGATTAGTGGGGCTAATGATCAATTAATAAAGGTACAACTGGTCTTATTAATAATGCATTTACAGTTTAATTGAGTTTAATAACGTGTATATTCTCAAATAGTTTTGGAACTTACCTGCGTCAGTTAACAGCCAAGAGTCAATGGATACTTCAACAACCGGTATGAATTATTCCATCAATAGTGATTTTCTATTGCAATTTAATTTTTTAATTTTTTAACTTTATTGTCTAGATGTCATGCTATATGCATTATCAAAATGGATTTCATTACGCACAGTCAGTGGAAATGAAAAATATCTTGAAGAATGTTTTCGTGGAGCAAAATTGTTGAAAAGTATTTTTGAACAATTAGGTGCTGAAGCTTTTCTGGTAACATTTCATTTTAATTGTTTTGAGTGTAAATTTATTTCCTCATTTACTAATTTACTAATTAAATACTAATGTAATATTATTAATGTACTCTATAATAGTTTCCAGGAATACCTGGTCGAAATCCTTTAGTAATTGGCAAATTCTTAGGAATTAAAGACAATGAATTGGCTACTGCCACCACCAATGTTCAAGAAGCACTTAATATTTTGGTCTATGGACATTACGATGTCGTTGACGCTGAAGAAGAGGCGTGGTTATCTAACCCTTTCGAAATGCTTGGTAATGTATTTAGTTGCTTTGAGTCGTATACTTTTATTTGGCTAGAGTCGTATACTTTTATTTAATTAACAATCATGGTTAAGCAAATTGCTGATTACTAATATAACGGAACTTCCTGGAAACCATGTTTGCTTTTTATGTTCATTAATTGTCTAAGAACCTCATACCGAGTTCATAATTTAAAACGTCCATCCCACATATAGTATTAACTAATTAACGCATTTGTGTCGGCTGGTTAATGTGAAGCCAATTTAGCCACAACCGGTTTAAAACATTAGCTACAATAATTTATTTCATTTTTAACTGGATATTAAATATTACTATCTATTTTATGAACATTTTACAATTTTAGGAAAAGATGGCTATCTTTATGGAAGAGGTAACTTTCAAATTCTTGTTTAAAGTTGCTTACTGAGTAATGATTATTATATATAACATATAATGTCTACGCGAATCAATAGGAGTAACTGATAATAAAGGACCGATGCTAGCAGCAATATTTGCGGCCAGTGAATTACAACGAGAAAAAGGGCTAAAAACAAATGTAACTTTTGTAATCGAAGGTGAAGAAGAAAATGGTAGTGAAGGTTTTCATAATATTATTGATAATTCAAAGGTTTGTATTCATTGATTTGAAGGCAAAGATATATGATCTATACTAGGACATTAACTAAAGATCTTGTTTGTGAAACTTGACAGGAATTGATTGGCGAAGCAGATGTTATTTTCGTCAGGTTGATTATTCAATCTAAAAATGAGTTTTATTATTCATAATTATAACCATAAATATTAATTTCTTCGCGTTTCTAATTTAGCAATTCTTATTGGCTTGATGATGAGACACCATGCTTAACTTACGGTCTTCGAGGAGTAATTCGTGCTACAATTGAGGTTCGATAAAAACTTCAGAGTTTCAAATTTAAGCATATAACATTCATTTTTGTACAATATATATTAACTAAAAAAAAAAAAAATTTAGATCTCAAGTTCAAAAGACGATGTACATTCCGGTATGGAAGGTGGAGCTGTTTCGGAACCATTGAACGATTTGATTCGGGTGTTGGCAAAATTGATTTCTAACGATAATCATATTCTGATACCCGGTAAGTTTTAAAAGAACGTACACCTTTTTCTTTCATCGTTTAAATAATTAAATTTGTTATTATATATCATTTAAATAGGGTTTTATGATAAGGTCAGACCGATTACAAAATATGAAGAGAAGTTGTATGAGCCTATTGTGGAATTATGCAATAGGTGTTTTTTTTTTTTTTAATGCCAATGTCTTTCATTTGTTATTAGTTTCTTGCTGTTTTTTTTTTGTTAATTCATTACCTTATCTAAATTTAAGACAAACTCAAAACACAAATGCCGAAGATATTAAACATTCATTAATGTCAAGATGGCGCCACCCAACATTAACCATTCACAAAATAGATGTTAGCGGGCCAAACAATGTGACAGTAATTCCAAGGTACGCTAAAGTAGCTGTTAGCATGAGAATTGTACCAGATCAAGATTTAGAAGAGATTGCTACAAATTTTATGGAATATGTTGAATTAGTATTTGGAGAATTGAAGACTGACAATGCTATTAAAGTAGGTTATTAAAGAACTTGATTTTATCATCTGATTTTGGGAATAAAGATAAAGGTTAATCTGATTTTGATTATGGTAACGGTGAATGTTTATAAATAGATTACAATAAATAATCTAGCAGATTGGTGGTTAGGAGATCCTGAAAATCGATTTTTTAAAGCTGCAGAAGAAGCCGTTAAGCGGGTTGGTGTTGATTCTGCAAATATTTTTCTCGACTTTTATAATATAAATAAGCAAGCCAATATGATATCAGTATAATAATAAAGAATTTTGTTTATAAATTTTGTTGCAGGAATGGGGAGTAAAACCATTGTATATAAGGGAAGGCGGGTCAATTCCCGCTATTAGATGGTTAGAAAAGAAGTTTAACGCGGTTGCAGTTAATTTATCTATGGGTCAAGTAAGTTTTAAAATTACATAAGTTGAGCATTTATTTTCTTAGAAAGAGTCTTAAATTTTTTTTTTTCCTTAAGTCATCGGACCAAGCACACTTAGTAAACGAAAGAATTAGATTACAAAATTTATACAATGGTAAAAACATCTTTAAAAATTTGTTTAGAAAATTGGGTGAAAGTATAGTAGTTTGATCTTAATAACGAGAGTTGTATAAAAAAATGAAGTTCGATTATTGTATTCTGATTATTTATCTTTCCTTCCGACATTAAACTTTTTATGACTTTCTTTTTTTTCATTATTACACGCGTTTTAACGAAAGGTCTATATATATACAGTATTTAAATGAAACTTAATCGTGAAATTGAATACCTAGGCTGAATTTTGCGAAAATGATTAATAGCAGTAAACAAAAAAAAACATTTAGCGAACTGCTAAAATATTGAATTCTTAAAATTTTGCCCTCCAAAATAAGAGCCAATATTCATATTCTCATATTTGAGAATGACTAATAACTCTTTACACTTAATGTTCAGTTGTTTACATGCCTTCAAGAGTAATCTATTCGTCTTTATATGAAACACCTGGAAAATATTTACTTAAACATTCTTTCCATTTACAAATTGCGCAATATTCCGCTACCTATCATTCACATATAGATGAGTTCGTATGGATATCAATTATAGTCTCTAAATCAAATTACGCGCAACTTACCAACGACTTTTCAATTATATCAGAACCATCCTTTGGAACTTTAATGTGCATCTTTCCCTCGATGTATGTTGAAGAAACCTTATTAGTGTTAACATTTGGAGGTAATCTAACTGGATGACAAAATGATTTATATCTGCGTTCACCCACGAATGTAGTAATTGACGAATCGAGACTCTTTTTAGATCCAAAAATTGCTAGGGTTCCATTGCAAACTTGAAAATTGATATCAAAATCCTAAATTTGCAAGATTGTGTAAGCTTAATTATGAGCTTATAATAGTATTCGGCGACATATGCCTAATAATTTTGAAAAACATTGGACATATAAAATTTCGTATGTCCAATGCCAACACTGTTATAATAGTTATACAGCCAGATCTCAGTGAAATGTCATAGTGACCATAAGAAAGAAATAGCCGAAATCAGCACTTAGAGAGATAATTACACAAGAAGGTTAAAAATCTATAACACTAATGGCTTGATTGCACATTTACAGAGGTTTATTATGAGAGGTACTTTTAGAGAGATCTGACCGTAATAATATAATAATAATAATAATAATAATAATAATAATAAACAAACCTCCAAATCAATCTTAACATTTATTTCCCGATCATTTTCGGTTACAATAATTCCATTAGAACAAAAAGAAGCATGCTCATCAATAACAAATTCTACATCGTCGTCATAGTCCACCAGTTCCATGTATACATTTTCAGAATTTTTTAAAAATTGTTTATCGTTTCCTGACAAATCCCTTAGTGGACCACCGTCCGAGGCAATTTCTGTGGTGCTAGGGTCCAATTCATCTGTATTCTTACATATGCTCCATTGAATAAGTGCATCTTTATAAGAAACAAATTCCAACTCACGTGAAGTAGCCGATTTAATATTTTCTAATGATTCAAAATCATATGCTGGTGAAAGTGATGTGTCAACACCAATTGTCTGTAAAGTGGTCATTTTAAAGATTACAGGACAGCTGAGAGAAATGTGAATTTTCAGAAATCAAGCAACCAAAATAACACAAAATTGTTATATTTTATTTGAAGGTATTTTTGCATGACAAATCGTTATTGTTGAGGGATAACTCCTCTTATATATTTATCACGCAATAAAGTAAATTGCAGTTTATTTCACGCCAAATCTCACGCATCGGAATTACGTAATGAGTAACGTATTATAATATTAATAAAATTATTTGCTGAGTCCGTAGCTAATCTCATAAACCGCAAAAACCTTAAGGAAACTACCGAATTCTTTTATTCTAAATTAAGCTACATGTTCAGACAATGAGAAATCTTCAAAAGATTTACTATACTACCTTTAGCAATATTACACAAATGATCTCACATGATTTTATATAAAGCGTTGATAACGATAACGATAAGAGAAATACCGTATAGTTCCGAAGATATCGTAAAACACTGTGTATCACCGTATTTGTACTATTTGTTATGGCGTTTTTAAGATACCCAGACACAAATTAATGGCTGATTTAATAATACGTAGATTCTTTTTTTCTAATGGAGGGCTATAAGTCATGGCGTTTTGCGTGGATAAATTAGCGTTTGTGGAATTGATAAATTTCTCCCAAAATTTTACTAATAAAATGGTAGCACGTACTAAGTAAAGCTGCCCAGGATGATAATTTTGCTATAGTATAGTTGGCTGGTAGTATTGCTTAATGCCGGCCTAGCTTCGGGCCTACTCCGACCCTAAACTTTGGTCGATCTGCTGAATTTTTATTACTCCACTAATCTATCCTTTAACGTTAAGCACCCTTAGCCCGCACTATACTAACCTTGATCAGCACTTAAAAAATTTCGCTAAAAAAATTTCGCAGTTAAATTAGGGTTAGGATTTGCTATTAAGTGAGGTTAGAAAAAGCCTTGCTACTACAAAGATTTCGCAAGGAAAACTTGTTGTTAATGCGCAGAAAGTAGTTTCATAAGTAAAATGTTGAGTTATGACCAATTTTTTTGTTTGCTTTGATTTTTTGCGTTTTTAGGTTATCAGCACTACGTGTGAAAAAGTGTGCTTATTTTCGGGATAATATTGTACTAATTTTAAAATAAGGTTTCATCGTGTAACGATATAATAACGAGTACCCAAATTTAGCAACTAGGGATGTTAAATGGTTCATTTTAGAAGTAGGGATTTTAAAAGTCCGCCTGGTCCACACGACTGCAAAGAGTCGAGTTTACAGTAAAGTCCGTCCCAAGTCAAACTTGAGACTCGACTCACATTACATATAGTACTGAAAAGAAATGCGTACGCATGCAAGTGTACGCAGTGTTGGCCTATGAGCTATATGACCTTTATGACTGTCATAGGTCATTTGGTCATAACGAAGATTGATATGACTTATGACCTTTCTTAATATAATAAGAATTATAAATAAAATCCTTTTCATTAGCATTAAAATGACCGATATGACTATGACCAAAAGTCATATGACTATATGATCAAGTTATATGGAAAAAAATAGGTCATCGGCCAACACTGAGTATACGTACACTTTCCTGACAAGAGTCATGGGCTTGTAGATCATTTTATAATAAAACATAGTAAATATTGAAAATTTTACATTATAAGAAAGGTTAAAATTTTTAATATCGAATAAATTTTTAATTTATATTATTACAACTCTCATTGAGTATAGTTTTAGTAAAATGTTTTCTTAAATTGTTTAAATTTTTTTAAAAATGTTAGTCTAATCGAAAAGTAAATTTTTTAAATATTTATAAGTTTTAATTATTGTAATAGAATTTATTTTTTTTTATTATTATATATTTATTTTAGTTCTATATTATATTTTATATCTTTCTTAATATTTTTACATAGTTTATAAAGTATTTTATTAGTTTTAATCACTTATTTAATAGGTTAATATTTATTTTATTAGTAGATTTTTTATAGTATTTTATTTTAGTCAATAGTTGTTTGGATATTTAAAATAATAGTTGTTTAGTATTACAAAAGTCTTGATCAAAGGTTCCAGGTCATGCCCTAGATGCTTCAGATATTTTAGGATATTCTAAAATGATGGAACAATTAATTTAATTATAATTAATTAATATTTATTAATTATATTGTAATATTTATTATAGTGTTACTATATAGTTTCTATATATTACTATAGTTATTTTTAGATGTATTTAGAACAACATCTATAAAAAGATTTCTAAACACTAAATAATCATAGAGAGTTTTGTAAATGAATATATAGGTTATATAATGATATTGTTTTATTTTTAGTTAATATATAAGTTATTGCATAATGAAGCATCAAGCATTAGTAAAAATAGAAAGATACAATATTAGTTTATCATTTGTATACAAGTATTGTTAGTAAATTGTATATAGAATTTCTTAATTTCTACTATATTTTGGATATTCATATAGTTCAGAATGATGCTACAACATATGATAACTCTAAAACCAATCAATTATTAGATTAAAAGTTATAAAAAAAATAGTTTTTTGTTCTTTTAAAAGAATAGTTCTTGATAAATAATTAATAATTTTTAGATAATTCTCTTTTGAAATTTTTTACTTATATAAAAATAATTTTATATCTTAAATTATTCTTTAATAAAATATTATTTTATCTATTTTATCTTATTATTATTAATAAAATTTATTCTTTATTTTATTCTTTATCTTATTCTTCTTTATAAATTATTTTTATTTAGTTTAATTTTTTTTTTTTATAATAATATAAAGTGAAAAGTTGGTTTTCTTAATTAGTTATTTGACAAATATTAGTTTTATATTATTGAAATTTAAAGACCACATATAGCTGTTAATAGTTTGATTATTAAGGCTTTTTTTCTTTGATTATATTCTACAAACATTTCTAATTTTTAAAGTCTAATAATCCTTATATAAGATAAACATTTTATTATATTTGATCTGCACAAACTAAACAGTAGAATTGGTTTAAAAACTAATTTTATTGTTATATCTTATAGTGCCTAGGAGATTATTGAATTTAAATTCTATTTTTAAATATTTATTTATTTATTTTTTATTTTTATTTATTTTATTTTTTTTAAATAAAAGATCTTTTACTTAGCATTTATGTATTTAAAATTACTACAGCTTGCTAGTATTTAGCAAATTTTATTATATTATAAAAATTTAAAAAAAAGATATGACAGCTTAGTAAAGTAGATAAGTTGTTAGTTTTTCAAATAACAGGTTATAAGTTTGAAATCTGGATATGTATAACTTCAAAACTAAACTCAAAAAATATTTACAAACCTAATCCTAGTTTATTAAAAAAAAGAGCTTACAAGTACAGACTAAGTTGGGTCTTAATTATAATAATAAAAAATAAGATTTTAGTTTAATTTTTTAAAATTTATTTTTCTGAAATATTATTTTATTAAAATTGTAATATTGAAAATTTATTTTACTAGAAAGATAAAAAACTAGATTTTAGAATTTTCAACTTATAATAAATTAACTTAACTTAAAAATTCAAAGTCTGAAATTCTTTTTTTTTAAAAAAATATGATCTTTTTGGTCTTTTGATTTTTATTAATAATTTTTTAATAATATGATTTTATAAATTATTACAAAAAAAGTATACAATTGATTATATATTAATTTTTCTATATTACTTATTTAAAAAGTTTACCTAAAAGATTTTTACTAATTGTTATATTTAATACTTCTACTTAAATGTTCTATTTTAAATTCTCTGAACCCAAACCTGTATTAACATTATTAAGTCATATCTAGGTCACTATTTTAACTTTAGTACTATTTTATTCTTAAAATAAACCTTCCAAAGCTTTCTGTATTCATTTTTATAATTGATCTAGATATTATTATAGCAGAACTAACATTTGCAATTAGAGTTATATTATTTAACTACTGTATACTTGTAGAGTTCACTTGAACTCTAGCATTTACTTCATAGCATATCTTTAGTACTTTAGTATACTCCTATCTGTTCTTTAGACTTTCAATCCAGATAACTTGTATATAATAATAACCAGTTTATTAGTATATCAGATCAATCATATTCTTTTTCTCTAGTTTATTCTGATAACTTAGTTGATAATATCTTATACTCAAAATTTTTTGTCTGTTTAAATACTTTAACATTGGTATCTATTTTCTAAATCTAACCTTTACAGTATTATTATTAAAGATCTGTACTATTTTTCTATTTAGATCTTCTTAAATAGACTTTTTGTTTCTTAATTTTAACAGATTTATATAGTCACAAGGACTTATCTAGAGTTTGCATTACCTGATACCAGTTTGCATTTCTTTGTATAACTAATTATATAGGTGCTTCATAATCTAACAGTTATACTAATATGATCATTATTACAGGTATCTTAATTTAATCATTAAAAACAGTTGTTATAATATAAGTATTATATAAATGATTATTTAAATTTTGCTATTAATAGAATTTGAACACCTAATCTACTACTTAGAAGATTAACAACTTATCTACTTCAATAAATTACTATATCTTCAATCTAAAATTCTATTTTATTTTAGTAATACTTATCTATATATTAATAATAATAATTTTTTTTTTAATATTAAACTAAGTACTTGTGACTCAGAAGTTTATTGTTAATTTGTTAGCATATAACTATTAAGTACAACAGCTACAAAGGCAATTATGAAAATAGTGTACAACTAGCTACTTGTACAACTTTAGTTATTATTTATTTTAAGTAATTTACCTAAAGTTTCTATATTAGTTGTTATATTTAGAACCTGCCTATAGGTTTTCTATTTAAACATTCTAGTTTTCATATTTACTCTTATTCTACTAACTGCAGATTAACTACAAATATACATAGTCACTAAGTCATATTTAACTTTTACTAAGCCTACTAGAGCTTTCTGTATTTTATACTTATAGCTAATCTAGCATTACTTTGACTTAGATCATCACTTGCAGTTAGAACTAATTATTAAATCAC